GCTGGACATTGGGTTGCTCCATAGAGCTGTTCGGCGAAATTGTAGGTCCATGGTTGAAGTCCTCCTAAGATATCATCCAGATGCAGATCTGAATAAATTAAGTGCAATCCGCTATGTATTTAGACCTGACGTCAAAGGCCCTGGGGGCTTGACTCCTCTGCACATAGCAGCCGGACGCGATGGAGCTGAGCATGTGTTGGATGCATTAACTGATGATCCTGGACTGGTACGGCCCTTCCTAATATGCATATTGTTGTTAGTGGAACATTACTTTTGGAAATGGAAAAATACTGCCCATGTCCCGCTCCAAATTGGAAGAAAAAACCAGAAAAAGGAATAAAAACAATCAATGTAACCCTATAATCTATTCGATAGCAATTTTTTTTTTATTTTTTTTATTTTAGAGGGGAGTTGGGGGGTGTTTACTGCCTTGGTGTGGCTTGCATTGTCTGTTCTTCTTTTCCTGTGTTCTAGGTACTTAATAATTGATTTTCACTCTTGATGAGCAATACACCTGTGCGTGTGTGCCTGTATGCCCCGGCAGCACTTTGCTTCCATCACGGCTCTTGCGGGATCTTTTGCTTCTTTCTTTGGCTTCTGCATTTGTGTGGCCAGAAATGGAGGGATCCAGGAGGGCATATTGCTCTTTCATAATTTTTGAAATTTAGACCAGTTATTTTTTTACTATTTATTTTTGGGGTCAATTTTTCAATGAGGTTTTTCCTGAGATAGAAAGCTGCATGTACTCAGAGCAGGTGCTTGTTTGGATGACTGTTCTGCTTTGGTTGTAGCTATCTTAGCGCTGTGTCTGATGACTGCTTTGTTCAGGTGGGAGTTGAAGCATGGAGAAGTGCCCGTGACAGCACAGGATTGACACCAAATGATTATGCATGCTTGCGAGGTCACTACTCATACATCCATCTGGTCCAAAAGAAAATCAATAAAAAATGGGGCAGCCAGCATGTGGTGCTTGAGATTCCTGATGGTCATCTACAGAGCAGCATGAACCAGAAAACGGCAGATGAAAATAAGTCAAGGAAGGTTTCCAGCCTCAGTACTGAGATGAGTGTAGTGAAACCAAGTCACGTACACTGCAGGCAGTGTGAGCAGAAATTGGCTTATGGAAGGAACAGAACATCGCTAGCAATTTACAGGCCGGCCATGCTTTCGATGGTTGCAATTGCGGCTGTCTGTGTTTGCGTGGCTTTGTTGTTTAAGAGCTCTCCGGAAGTGGATTATGTTTATGGTCCCTTCAGGTGGGAATATTTGGAGTATGGATCAAGCTGAGGTGGGAATTTGTGGCATTGTTGTTGGAGTGGGGCTTGTAAAATAAAAAGCTTCCCTTGAAAAAAAGATGTTGCCCATGTTTGTGTTGATCTCATATAAGTACTAAATATTACTATATAGGTAGGAGCTACAATGCTGTAGCTATGTATATTTATTCATGCTTTGTGATTATTTCGGATCATAAAGAAAGATCAGTTATCTGAAGCTGATGTATTAACGCAACATAGGCTGTAATAATTCTTGGTGGCAGATGATCCATATGGATGAGGGGGCGTAGAAGGATTTTTTTTTTTTTTGCAAGGATTCGAAGATATTATCTGTTGTTATCCAAATCTGGAGATATTGGAATGTTAATTAGTGGCCATATTTTGATCGGTGACGTTTAATGAATGCAAGCTCACATGAAACTACCAGCATTTGTTCTAAATCTCTTCCATTCTTAGTCGTTGTTGAGTAGTAGTTGATTTTTGGACAAACAAGAGCGATTGAGCAGAGGCCCGAGGATCATCATCATCATCATCATTTCAATTCACGCAGAATTTGCGTTGGCACTTGGAGAGAAGGTCATTGCACGAGCACGACCGCCCAATCCCCAATCTACAACATTATTCTGGTAGTATGCGCTAGGCACTTGGGCAGCAGCAAATTCAGAGGCCGCCGCCAAAAGATAGAGAGTGAGGGAGGCGGCTTTAGAAGGAAGGTGGTCCGTCGGCCGGCAAATGACGACGACATCCCCATTTTCCTTGTCCTTCTCGTCCTCCCTCCGTCCCTCACCTCTCCCTCATCCCCGCAGAGCCACCCTGATTAACTTGGCCTCAACCCATTCCATCTCAGAGCTTGTAATGATTCGTTGCGCCGCCCCCGCCCTGGCATCCACTACCCGGGCAGCCGCCGCAGCTCCCTTGACGTCGCCCCCCCAAAAAAGGCACTGGAAACAAGGCGAGTACCCAGGTCTCATTCAAGACTTCTCAATTTCCCAAAAAAACAAGAAGACCCACCCCATAAAAAATATTAAGAAGAAACTGGATAAGAAGAACAATGCCAAGGCCTGGGCCAACACTGTCACCGAAGCTCTCTCCGATTGCATTGACAAAAAGCAGTGGCTCCCAGCCCTCCATGTATGATTCTTCAAGCTTCTTTCTGTTTTCTGTGTGTTATGTTTCCCTCTCCTCGAATTTTTTTGGAGGCGCGAATTTTACATTGGACTTTGGTGCTTCCATCAATCAAGGAAAAAGAAAAAAAAAAAAGAAGATGATCTTTGTATCGCTATTGCCGACAGACATTAGAATTTTTTGTTCTTTTTAAACTTTTCGCTTAATTTAAGCAAATAGATTTGGCTAATCGTGCGAATGTTCTGGGGAAAGTATTTTCTGGTGTGCTGAAAAAAAACTCGTCATCTTGTCTGCTTTGTGGCATTAAGAAAGTGGTCCTTTTAAAAAATTTCAGGTATTTGAGATGCTGAAAGAACAGCCCTTTTATCAACCAAAAGAAGGGACTTACATGAAGCTCCTCGTTCTGCTTGGGAAATGCGGTCAACCACAACAAGCCCGTCAGCTTTTTGACACGATGCTTGAAGAGGGATTGCAACCCACTTCAGAACTTTACACGGCCTTGCTTTCTGCTTATTGTAGAAGCAACATGATTGATGAAGCATTTTCAGTTCTTGATCGAATGGTAGTCCTTCCTCTCTGTCAACCAGATGTTTATACTTACAGCATCCTGATTAAGGCTTGTATGGATGATTCTCGTTTTGAGATGGTTGAGTCACTTTATCAACAAATGGCTGAAAGATTAATTACTCCTAATACGGTCACTCAAAATATAGTTTTGAGTGGTTATGGGAAGGCGGGAAAATATGAACAAATGGAGAAAGTGCTCTCAGGAATGCTCAAGAGCACGTCGTGTAGGCCTGATGTATGGACAATGAATATTATATTGAGTTTGTTTGGGAACAAGGGTCAGATTGAGATGATGGAGAGAGGGTATGAGAAGTTTCGTGATTTTGGCATTGAGCCCGAAACCCGAACTTTTAATATCCTTATTGGTGCTTATGGGAAGAAGAAGCTGTATGATAAGATGTCATCTGTTATGGAATACATGCGCAAGCTTTCATTTCCGTGGACAACATCAACCTACAACAATGTCATCGAGGCGTTTGCAGATGCTGGTGACGCCAAGCACATGGAGTGCACATTTGATCAGATGCGTACCGAGGGTATGAAGGCAGACACTAAGACATTCTGCTGTTTGATTAAAGGTTATGCTAATGCGGGTGCTTTTCACAAGGTCATCAGCTGTGTTCAGTTGGCTGGGAAGTTGGAAATACCTGAGAATACATCCTTCTACAACGCTGTCATTTATGCTTGTGCAAAGGCTGAGGATTTAATGGAGATGGATAGAGTTTTCAAGAGAATGAAAGAAAAGGAATGCCAACCAGATTCTCTGACATTCTCACTTATGGTTGATGCTTACAGGAAGGAAGGTATGAATGACAAAGTCTACGATTTGGAGCAAGAAAAACAGATGATCAAGGCTAGTGCAGTGGGAGCCGGCCAAGATATTGAATCACAAACCCTTGTTGATCCGTGGTTCTGAGTCTGAAATTGTGATTACTTTCTATAGATGTCCATGTTAATAGTTCAAGACCAGCAAAACAGCAGTTTTTGACTGGTTCTGGGTGGAACTACTGATGAAAATTTTTATTGCCGAGCTAGACTTCTGGGCAGATAATCCAACAGCAACTCTGCCTTGCACTTAAGTCGAGTGCTACTACGTGGAGAACATGGATGATCAACTACTTCAGCACCTCCGTTGCACATAGCTGTCGTTTTATACTTCTGCATTGTACTTTTTTAACCCAAAATGCAGCACGCAAGGCCGTCGATTGCAAAGTCTCTGTTATATGTATTGTGGAAAAAAGAGTGCCATCTGAAATTTAAACGGTCACTGTTAGTGTAATATCAGGCTTTTCATCTCCCCATTCCTTTTCTTTCCTTTTTATATATATAGTTTGGTTGGTACAATTATAATCTTTTATATACTGGAGTTCCTTTTCTTTTAATGTATACCCAGTTTTGTTAGTAAAATTACTAATCTTTTATAAACTGGAGTAGAATAAGACGTGCACAGAATAAGAGCAAGCAAATAAATCAATCAACAAGGGGATGAGATAAAGGAGGTTGGAAAGTGAATCATCAGAGGGAATCTCAATGGCTTATTGGCTTTTGGGAGTAGGCGTCTGAAATGAGACATATCACATCCTATTTCTCAGGATGGGTGAAGCTGTGTCCTGTGCCCTTGGTTTATCATTTCCACTGGTGAAGTAAAAGCCTTCTTCCTATCTGTGCTTGTAATTAATTCTATTTGGAGTAAAAGCTCTCTTGAATTTGCGACAACAGTTAGGAGTGAGTAATGAGTGATTGAACAATAATTAGCTAATAAAATTTGCAGACTATCTGTATCTGGACGAGACTGGCAGAGAGTCCAGTTCCATGCAGAAAGATCCTCAGGCTTGAAGAGGAATATTAGCATGAAGTGAGAGTCCTACTATTCTTCTTGCTCGTCTGTCTTTTTCTTGCACATGGGAGATTACACGACGCATCATGGATTTACATGATTTCTCATAAAAATAGATAAACTGAGGGTGAAAGAATTTAATCTTAATAGGCTAAAAAGAGCAGCATCAATAAAGAAAGGACCGATGCAAACCATGATAGAATACCAATGAATGGAAAAATATTACTTCCAGACCCCAAACATGAGATTTGGGGTAAGACTTGCAAATGCACCTGAGACCACTTTGTAGAACAAATACCAGGGATTATTAAAAAAAAAAAAAACAAAAAGAGTTACTGGTAGAACAAATGTACAGATAAGAAAAACAAAAAAAAAAAAAAAGAAGCAAAAATATAGATAGATAAAGAGCAGGCCCAACTTCATCCCGTGGCAGCATTAATCTGGATTAGGCTAGACCAATTCTCCCATTTGAGAGGCTTAACCACCTCCCATGTGAAGTCGGGGTCATCTCGGCCAAAATGCCCGTAAGCAGCAGTCTTCAAGAACCTGTTATTCCCACCTCTCTTAAGATCCAAATTAATGGCAATCATACCAGGCCTGAAATCAAAGTTATCCTTCACGATCTTGAGAATTTCTTTGTCGGGGATCCTTCCTGTGCCATAAGTGTCCACAAAGACAGACAAGGGCTCGGGGACACCAATGGCGTATGAAACCTGCACAATGCACCTCCTCGCAAGTCCATTGCCAACAATGCTCTTGGCAGCTTGCCTGACAATGTAGGCACCACTCCGGTCCACCTTGGTTGGGTCCTTTCCGGAAAAGGCACCACCACCGTGAGCACCCCATCCACCGTAAGTATCAATAATGATCTTGCGGCCGGTAAGACCAGCGTCGCCATGAGGACCACCAATGACAAAGCGGCCAGAAGGATTGAGGTGGAAAACTGTTTTCTCATCGAGGTACTTCTTGGGAATCACAGGCTTAATGACATGCTCCTTCAGATCAGCAGCAATCTCATCGTTGGTGACGGTCTCGTCATGCTGAGTGGAAATCAAGACAGTGTGAACTCGGACAGGAACCATGGCACCATTCTCATTGTAGTACTCAACAGTCACTTGGGTTTTACCATCTGGTCTGAGCCAGGGGCAAGTACCATTCTTGCGAACCTCTGTGAGGCGGGCACCAAGCTTGGTTGCAAGAACATGGCTGAGAGGCATCAATTCAGGGGTCTCATCGGTGGCATAGCCAAACATGTGTCCCTGGTCACCAGCGCCTATTTCCTCGGGGCACTTGGTGAGATGACCGTGGACACCCTGAGCGATGTCAGGGCTCTGCTGTTCAATGTTGACAAGGACCTTGCAGTTGTCAGCATCCAAGCCTACATCATCAGAAACGAAACCAATGGCACGGCAGGTGTCGCGGACAATTTTCTCATAGTCGACCTGGGCCTTGGTGGTGATCTCACCGAAGACCATGACCATGTTGGTCTTGGTGCAGGTTTCGCAAGCAACCTTGCTCTCGGGGTCTTGAGCCAGACAGGCGTCAAGCACTGCATCCGAGATCTGGTCACAGAGCTTGTCGGGGTGCCCCTCATTGACAGACTCAGAAGTGAACAAGAAGGTCTCCATTTTCTTCTTTCAAGCTGCAAACACTCGATAAATGACAAAAAATAAACAATAAATAAATTAATTGAGGCGGAAGTGGAACACAAACAAAGTGGGAGCAGAACAGAATGAAAACAGGGGAAAAGCCAAGAGGCACGGTTAGTAAAAGGATCCACCATTAAGAGATTATGTTGCAGCGGGAAGACCCGATGTAATTTTACACAGGAAAAGCAGAATCAAGGGGCTAACTTTCCTACGCCTGGTATCGAATGGATCGAAGGAAATGCACGGATTGATGTGGAGAGTAATAGTAATTAATCAACAACAACGGGTTACTGGAAAACTATCAATAGATGATATTATGTTGGCAAGATACGGGGAGATTGCAATACAGGGTAAGGAGAGAACAGAAGATCCGCAGGGATTCCACAGCAGAAAACGGTGTATTGTTCAATGAAAAACGTAGCAACATGCATAAGTCTAGGGAACGAAAAAAAGAAAAGGTGACAACTTTTTTACTACTGTAATGAAGAAATCCATACACGGACGTGTTCTTAACAAAAACTTGAAAAAAGAATGAAAGAAAGAGATACAACTACTGCACCAGTATTACTACTACCGAAGCGACAAAGAAAGAAAGCGCTTGAAGAATACCTTGGAATAGCAGTGTCGTCAGATTTGGGTGCGTATGAAGGAGGAGGAGCAATTGTGGAGGGGAGCACGAAACAAAAGGAGGGGTTCTTCCTAATATATAGGGGCGGGGGGTTTGGGTAGTTGGCCGCCTTCCTGTTCTGGGCTTCCTTTGAAAATGGGAACAGCTACGGATTGTAAAATGTAAACTACGTAATAACCTCGTAATATGAGGCCGCATTCATTCTACTACAGTGTTTCTTTTTTGCATTTTTTTAATTTTCGTGACAAAACAAGAATCTTCCTTAGATAGACAGTAATAGAATGGATGCCCATTGTCCGTAGGTAGGGAGGTCAAGTAAAGTAAAGTAGGTGGAGATCCAGAGGGTCCCTCACTCCTCCTGTCCCTCGCTCTACTACACCTACATATCTACGGCTATGGTGTCAGAATGTCTATGGTTAAAGTCAACGCGAAGCCGTCCGATGTAACCCACACCCCAGTCCCCTGGTCAGGGACCCTGTATTTTTTATTTTTTATTTTTGGATCGGTAAACCGAAATTTCAATGTTTGGTAAAAGTAAAACCTTGCTTTTTTTTTTTTTTTTTTGTCATTAGTCCTTTTCTTGTGGTTGGTTGGTAAATGGTAAGTAGGTTGGTTCATGGTTGGTATACTAAGTTTTGGCAAAATCGCAAATTGAGGGTAAAGTAATTTTCTTGATCGCTACTTTGTACTGGTAGTAGTAGTTGAAGGTAGATTAGATAGGAGAATGGGGGGATTGGACGAGGACGAGGACTGCTACCACCGCCGCCACGAAGCATCATCCGTGGGTAGTTGTAGTATCGCCATCCCGCCGCTTCAAACCCTCGATGATGGCAGCCGAAGCAATGGAGTAGAAATCATCTCCTTCTCCGATGTGGTGGACGATGCCACCCTCCACTTTCACATCATCCGTCTTCACCGGCAGGCAGGGTTTCTTTCTTTCTTTATATTTTTTCCTAACTTCCCTCGCCCAGACCAGTCTTGTCCCCCCATCGTCATCTGCTGCCTTAATTCTTTGAAATACTCTCTAACTCACTAGTGCACGCTTAATTCTTTGATTCACTTGTTTGTTCACCATTATTACCATGAATCTCCAGTTTTACTTAACTGTTTCCCTGTGTGCAGATATACGCCTGGATCGGTTGCAACTCTGCAAAATTTGGACATTTATATGCTGCTGCTCCTACACGTCCCGTAAAAAAAGCTCTTTTCTTTCATTACTTTCTCCTTTTTTTTTTTCCCTCATCTTTTTGTTTGCATTTTCCCGATTTCTGTTATATTTTACCTCATTGCTAGGGCCATGGTAATGCTAAGACCTGCCCCTTGTGCTCTTAGACCTGTGCATAATCTAATCTTCACTTTCAAGTTTTTTATTTGGATCACTTTGAAGACGTTGGCTTTGCTGTTCTTAATTTGATGTCTACAGAGCAATGCTGTTAGTGTTACTTCTTTAATTGGAGGATCTTCTGACAACGCTGGAGCTGGTATTGCCCGTCGAATAGGTAATTCTGTCTACAGTACCTGGACGTGATTATCCGAATTGTTTCGTCTTCACCCCCTTTATCACACACGGTTTTCTTTTTCTAGTTCTCAAGACTGGTCTTAACGTTGTATTGGCTTGTAATCTTCCAAAGAATAGTCCCTTGCTTGAGGTTAGCTCTCTGACATCATGTATGCGTTGGTGGTTTTATTCAATCTTTAACAGTGCACGGTCTTGTTTGCTTTACCAAGTTGTATGTGCTTTCCTCATGGCAACATTTAGTAGTTATTAGGAATTTGTGGTCTCTCAAAGCCTTTTTCCACTCGGAGCTTCATGATGTAGCTTTTGTTATATCCCTCCTACTCTCTAAAAGGTTACACGAGGCTCCCAACGCCAATCTACACTGTTGGATTTCCTCTCTCTCTCTCTTTTTCTTATTGGTTCTCCCCCCCCCCTGCTGGTATTTAGGCTGCTGCTGAGAGAAGGTTGGTGCAAAAGCTTGTCAGCCTGGGTTACGCGACACCTAAATCTGGAGTATCATCCTCAACACAAGAGGGCTAACATTGGCATCCTCTGGGCAAGTTTTCTCCAGAAGAGAGTTTTCGAGAAACAACATTTAAGAGGTCTTGACCTGAATGTGTGCTGACGAAGCTTCTATTCTGCATTCGTCACATTCATTTCTTATCATACATACGAGCGACATACATAACAAAGTCTATACAATCATTTGCATATGGCATGAAACTCACTCATTCCCTCTACTCTCACAATATTGTGTGCATTGCCTGCAGCTTATTTTATCTTATATGATCTTAGTTTCCCGATAGGGTGTTCTAGAAGTTATTATCTTCCTAGAGTGCATCAGCCATCCCATGCACAGTCACTTCTGCTTCTATGGTGCACCTGTCATACCTCAGAAGACCATTGTTTGACTGGTTGAAGTAACTCAGTGAAACAAATCTTGGCCAACCGGAAACGGGGTTTGATGCACTGAACCAATGCTTAGCTGCAAAGAAGGTAGGATCTTATTCAGTTATTAAACATTTAATTCAAGGGAAAAGACTTGTAGGACTGGCGTAATCTCCAGCCAGTGTTAAAGGAGAGAAAAACCTATTTTGTAGTGTGAGTTTGAGGAGGAGTACGTACCTTTACCAAGGTAATGTTTTCCTTGTATTTGGTCTAGTATACGCAGTGCAAACTCTACATATATTTGATTACCAGGGGAGAGGCTCGTAGGATCATCTAAAGCTAGGTATAAAGATACTAGAGTATTTCTGGCTGTGCCTTGCACAGCCAATGCCCAAGGTATTGTGTAAAAAATATTGAAATGTGTTTTTTTAACAGGAGAGAATCAAAGCTGAATATCTTCAGGTATAGTGAGCTATATGAGGATGGAAACAGAAGAAAATAATAGATCGAAAGGCAAATATTCCTGTACAATAAATATTGAACAATATTAATCATTAATTCTTTCAAATAAAAATTATCCCTGTTTACTCATTTGTAAGGTCTAGAAAGAAATGCTTACTCTTTTGTTTTCAATACATAGCAATCTATCGATTAGTTGGTTCTATTATAGTCATATAAAGCATAGTTAATAAGTGAAAGCAAACAAACTTACGATTGGAAAAGTATGATTAACAGGTGAAAGACAACAAAACTCAGGCGTAAAAATTGTAGCATATAGAAAAGGAATGTAAAGAACTACTGTACATATTATTCATTGCTAGAGAGACTTATATGACATACTCTATCAAAAGATATTGGAGTAGTGGACTCTAATACTGCGTTTTCAGCTCATGAAGTTATGATTGACAACTTTGTGGCTATGCTAATAGCAGTCATTAGCAGGTGAAGGAGGTCCTAGTAAGTGTAAGTCATAGAATGCATTGCTCTATAAAAAAATATTGAAGCAATAGATTCTAAGACTACAATTTAGCCATGATAGACCTACACACTGGAATGCTAAATTCTTCTCTAGCAATATCAAAAGGTTTTAGTAAGAGTTGTGGGAGGTCAATTGCCTTCTTGCTGTTTTGGTTTCTTTGTTGGGCTGGCAGCAGTTTTGTCGATTGAGGTGGCATTTGGTGAGGCTGAGGTAGCAGTGTCTTCAAGTGTTTTGTGTATTTCTGTTCCAACAGTTGGTGCAGGTATTTGGTGACCTTCTAGTTCGGTCAATGTGAGGGCTCTTTTTGTGGCTGTTGATTCAGTCATGGAGCTTCTTTTAGTAGCAGTGGATTCAGCTATTTCTTGAAGCAGCAATTTAGCCCTTGGTGTGAACGTTTGTTCGTCTGCAATCTGCTTTTGCTTGGTGTTTGATGGTGTTGTACTCGGTGAAGCTTGAAGAGTTGTTGGTGAATCTTGTAGAGGCAGTGGTATGTTTGGAACTTCAGCTGCTGTGTAGGCTTTGATGATTGCATTTCTTCTTTGTGGCAGTCCTTGAAAAGTTGTCTCATATGTTTTGATGAAGCAAATCAGCTTGTGCTTTTTCATGATGGTAGAAAGTTCTTGATTCATTGTTATTCCCTGAGATGATAAGAATGAATGTGAGTGTTTATATATTAGTATTTTTGTATATAAATGTTGAAGGTAGATTTGAAGGGTAAGTGTGCTACTATACATGTGCCTCTGCATCCTTCAGTTCGGCAGCAGTGAATTGTATCAGTCTTTCAGCTTGTTTTCCAGATATTAAGCATTGAATGCTTGCAGTTGAATCAGTGAGTGTTATTCCAATGCGACACCTTCAGTGAAATGTGAGAGTTTTAGTTTATTGTAAAATGTAGAGTATGAAAAACTTGTTTTTAGACAGGGTAAATAGGAAAGAATACCTTAGCTCTACTTCAGCTTCTTCTTTGCATGATGAACATTTTATGATCCAATCTGTGTCTGCTTCAACAGTCTTCAAGCAATTTGAGCATGCAGTGTACCAAAAATGAGTTTGGCCAAATGATAATTGTGCTGTACCAGTTATCCATGCTGTTTTTTGCTGGAAATGAATTGAAACTTTAGTGTATTATTATTCGACTTTCTGCAAAGCTGAAGTGTACAATGATAATGCTGATTGGTTAGGAAAAAGGGTGTAGTATTCTTACAGTTCCGAATGAGATTAACGCATCATGAATATTCTTAATGTCCCCTTCATTTGGTAGTGGAAGCAGCAATTCTGGATCTTTATATGCTTTTGTTTCGAATAAAGTCTTAACTTCATCTTTATGGATGCTATACCATTCATGAAGTATGAATTCATCATGGAGTGGTGGGTTGATGAGAATGGATGACAATCCTATTGTTGTTAATGACAGAGCTGTTTAACCAAAGAATTAAATGTTTTATATGTAAGAAGTATAAGTGACATGCAATGAGTGTATAATGGATTTATAGAGTAAGGGACTTACTGTTGAAAGTAGAGACTTTCACTCTCATAGCAAAGATCATAGGAATAGTTGCAATGATGTGTGCAAGGATGTTGCCCTCATATTCTTGGAATTCATTCCATAGGGTGAGAAGCATCAATTTTTTCCTTTGAACAGAAAGGATTCAATAAAAAGGATGATGTTAAGTAATAATTTATATGCTAAATAATAGACAGAATTGAAATTTCTCACTCTTCATTTCAATCACAAAGTCTCTTGTGATTGAGTCCGGGGTTGTTTCTTTTTGGGGGAAAGCATGTATGACCAATGCTTTGACACCTACAATTTGAAGTAGCTAGTTAAAGATGAAAGTATCTAAGAATGTAATATTGGATAGAATTGTGCAGAGATATGTGTTTTTTTTTTATAACACTTACTTATCAAAGAAATCTCAGATTCTGCATGTTTATGTGCATCAGAAAAGCTGTCAAAGGTGAAAGGACATGGAAGCATCGGAGGAATTGGTTCGAGGTAGCGCTCAATCAAAGTTGAGTAATGAAGGACCCAAGAGTAGGGATATTCACTGACTTTGTATGTAGGAATAGCAGTGATAACAGTTGCACCAGAGATGTAGTATCGTTGGTATGGAACCAACAAATTTCTGAACAATCGGATGCAATTTTCATAGGTTGCTGCAGAAACTTTAGTTCCCTGTTTTTAACAAAGTGACTATATTGAATGAGTATTTAAGAGACTAAAAGTGAGTAAAGTTGTATAAATGTATGTAAGACTTCATGAATTAGAATAAGTAGTGGGAGGAAGGAACTTTTAGAGATTTTGTGGTAGATAATGGGATTATGGAAGGAAAGTCTAGTTTGTCATAGTATCAGTGCATAGTTAATTTTAAATGTTGAGTGTTTGTATATCGTGGAATCTTCAGTTTTTAAGAATAGTATTGCATATTGAACTTTGAATGATAAGTTTGTATGGTTTTTTCAATTTATAGGTTGGAGGGATTATGATAATGGGATTATGGTTTTTTCTTGATAGCTCTTGGCATTGTACTATTTTATGAGAGCTATTGGGATTTACTTGTGAGGCCTCGGCATTGTAGTAGTCATCAAACCACTCATCTACTAAACTAAAGCTATTAGTTGCATTCCTTTTTCTTTTCATCTTAATGAAAGTAGTAATAAGAAAACGTAAGTAATATTAGATAGTCAAGAGAGTAATAATAAGTTATATATATGTGTGAAATGCAAACTGCTACATAGAAGCAATTGAGCAAGAGATAGAAAGGTGTAGACTAACTGTTTGAAATTACCATATTTATCTAATCAGAGTCATTAAATAGTACAAAGCAAAGCGCAGAAAAAAAAAAGGTCATATGAAACATATATTTAGGCACTAAAATTGTCAGGTACAGTCAAGGAACAGAAGAGATGACCTTGAAGTGAAGCAATTCCTTAGTATGAATCCATGAACCCCAAATATGCTGAACTGGTGAATGGAGCTGGTAATGTAAATTGCATGTAGAAGAATGCTATTAATCAACGTAAAAGAAATAAAACAAAAATAAAACTGATAGAGGTAGACATAATACTGATAGAGGTAGAAATAAAACAAAAAGAAAGGTGTAATTAGTTTTAATGGGAAAGATTGCAGAGATACAATGATTTTCAGGCATATTCAGTCAGTAAGTGAAACCAAATGAACTTGCAACCTAAAAACTACCGTCATTTAAGCCACAAAAGAAGATAGTATTGTTTCTCACCAAACGATCTAACTTCATTAGGTTTGTGCATTTTTTGGTGCAAATATCAGGCAGTTTAAGCTTTAGGTTAACAATTTAACTTGTTTTAGCTTGCTTATCTGTATTCAATAAACGGTGACAACCCTTAATTGGTAATTACTTGTACTATATTCTTAAGAGGAAAAGAAAAGGCAAGAAATTGAAGGAGTAAAGAGAGTAACCTGAAATTGAAGCAACTACTTGCTAGAAATCCGTGGATGCTAAATCAGAAGTTTTGCTGCACCAATTTCAAACTGCAGTTAACGTCTTGAAGAAATTTGGTAACTAAAATAAAAAGTAGACATATTATCCAATATCTTAAATACTGGTAAGAGACAAAGAAAAGAAGTAGTTACCTTTAGCACCAAAGGTTGCAGAGAACAAGGTAGAAGAAGAGTTTAGTTTTTTGTGACCAGTATTTTTGTTTCTAATATAAAGGCACAAGCTTTCCTTCATTCTTGATAATTTGGCAATCGGTCAAGAATATCAGGAAAACAGAGGGACAAACCTATATGTCTAGCAATATTATTAGGCATCATGAATAGAGCAGATAAAGATGCAAACTTGATAAGTTGTCTGAGATTGTTCTTTTCAGTGTGGGTAATTTGTCAACGGGCCAAGAAATGAAAATGAATACAAAAGGACAAAACAATAAAGAGTACAGATGTAAAAAAACTTGGATGGATAGCCATAATTTAGGGAAGAAAATCATGAAATTATTGACCGAGTGATCTGGAAACAACAGGAGGGGGAAAGTAAAGAACGGAAAACAGAAGAAAAGAGTCAAAGCAAGAGGAACAATCCCAGAGTTCGGATATGGATGGGCAGCAATAATTGACTCTTTGTGGGAGAAAGGAAAGCTGCAAGAAAAATTAACGGAAACAGAGAGACAGAGAAAGGGAGACGAAAACAAAAGATGATGGGCTAAGTAGAAAGGGCAGCCATAATTGACTCTTTGTGGGAGGAAAGAAAGCTGCAAGGAAAATTAACGGGAAACAGAGAGAGACAGAAAGGAAGAAGAAAACAAAAGATGATGGGCTAAAGTTGTAAAATGGAGTAGAAAGGGAGTCTTTTGTTTTCCTGCCATCGGTGCACTTGCAGATATTTATTTGACTTTTTGACTCCTATGGGCTAAACTTGTAAAAATGAAGTAGAAGGAAGTAAAAATAAAGTTCCTGGCCATCGGTGCACTTCAAGGTTTTTCTTTGACTTTTTGACTCACTATGACTTCTTGTCTTTAATAACGGAGACAAAGAAGTGAAGAGCAACAGAGGTGATTTCTTAGATGACAATTGAGAAATTAAGCAAAAAGCTTCGCGAGAAGTCAAAAATAGCCCTCAACAGTACGTTACTGTTTTAGGGCTAGTGATGTTGATCTGGGCAAAATCGTAATTTCATGTAAAAAGATAAAAATGACCTCAATAGTGATACACTGTTGGAGAACCAATCAATATTTTCAGGGCATAAACGGAAAAAAAATTTTCCCCCTCCCCTCATCTCACCACGTGGCTGAACCTGAGAGTAGAAATCTTAGGTTCTTATATATATGTAAGATAAGATATGACTTCCTGTGCCACTGCCTTTTCCCTTCGGATACAACTGTATCTTCCTGCAATAAAATGCAAAGGATTCATAAGGTGATTTTTTTTGGTGAGCGTGAAATCTTGTTTCCCGTGTCTTACCATTTTTGTTCCCCTGCGTTAAATGAATTGGATGCTTCTAAATTAGATGAATCATATAAAATAGAGAAACTATCAATCTTCCAGGTACTTTTGTGGCTTACAGCGTCCTTGATCATCAATAGACTCTCCCCTTTAGCTCCAGCATAAGTTTCCTTGCACACGTATATTTCTACCCCTAAAATGCACGTGTCATTGACAAGATATCCATTAGAAGGATCATTAAATGTTTTCAGATGCACGAGTCTGTCAAATCCCCATTCAAGCTTCATCTTGTGAAAACGTCTTGCTTTTCCTGCGGCATCCAGGTGAAGGACATTATTGTATCAGTGATTTGATTGATGCACTCAATCCATGGAATCGCTATGTATTAGTAGATTTTTTTTTTTTTTTTTTTGGGCATATAAGAAAGTTGAAGTCAAACAAAACAGGGGAGGGAATGGTGGTATCTCTAAACTGTTGTGTAGGATTAGGTAGCATACCTTGGAGAGTTAGGTAGTTATCCCTGTTCTGATCAAGCAAGAACATTCTAAAAACTGCATGAACTTCCAACCCAGGATGAAGGAAGTTTTCTCGTGCCATCACCACGTACACGGACATGTAATCAGCTACCCCTTTGGTTTTATTTCCATTTGGGTAAATGGCCAACTTCCTGAAATCACAGGACGATGGATATGAATGAGTTTTGAGAGAATTGATCATGCACTACTCCATATCATTCGCACGCTTTTTTTTTTTAGCAACAGAGAAGTGAGGAGGAGCACCATGTGTAGCCTCCAGCTTCAAAATCAGCGGAGGTGTATTTCTCGACGTCATTCTTTGCAAGCAGAGAGAATGACCGGAGTTTCACGATGTAATGAGTTGGTGGTGTATCTGAAACTGAGCTTGCAACAAATTAAAATTCAATTGACAAATTAAAAAGGTAGCGGGATTATCCGCTGCAACAAATATGACTTGACTAGACCAGAGAAGAGAGAGACGGAAACACTAACCATCCCGGTCGCAAGTGGTAAGATCTGCCATTAGTTTCCTGTTTCTTTCCTTCGGGATTCTTGGTTTTTAATAGAAAGAATAACGCAACGCGGAGAAGAATTTCTTCCGGCGGGGGATATCCATTTCTTCCTCATTTGCTTGTTGCTTTGAACACAATTCTTCCATTTTCACACACGAGACAAGCAGCGTGAGCATCTTAATGCCGGGAACGCAACGTTATCAGATTGTTGCAAGATTCTTAATGCATTGTTATATGTTATCATCGACCTTTTCTTTTTGCTTTAAATTCCAAGTTAAAAACTTCACTTGCTGCAATGATTTATTTACGACGACTAGTAAGTAGCCGAAGTAGATGTTGCAAAACTCCAAATATCTAAAACTCGTTACAACACGATTTCCAATGTCCAGATTCCTTAATATTATAGCTTCCACCAAAAATAAAAGTATATATTCGCTTCAACAAGGACGACAGACACGTTCCCAACAACCATCTTCATACTCAAGCCTAGGCGCAGATCTTCAAATAGCCATCTTCTGTTCCAACAAGAAAGAGCCGTGAGAAAGGAAGTATGCTTATACTTGACAATACAGACATGTTCCTTGATTCTCTGTCCGCCGTATATAGATATTGCGGCGTCACTAGGCGCTCTCCATCCTGCCACGTTAGGAGAATGACCAATGAATGATAACACTTCAGAACCCAGCACTGTGGACGATATTAGGGAAAGACGAAACAACAAAAATTTCCTTTTAATTTTTCTTGGTTTGTTTGGCTTCAAGAAAAGAAACTTAGCATCAAATAGAATAGAATTGAAGGACCAGATCTATGATGCCGCTTGCCACTGGAGGTCACTGGTAAAGCCAGAAGGTGCCAATGGAATTGTCCAATACAGCACCATATGAAGATTGAGTTCTTCATGATTAGTATTTTAAATTAACCTTCCCAGTAGGTGCATAACCAATACCCACCATTAAACGTGAGGAAATGATATGTTTGCCATCCGACTTTGGGTCTTATGGACAGCAAACATTATGGATAAGTCATCAAGTCATTCTTTAGCAGAAACATATCTGACCCATCCCGTATACCACAAACTCACACACAAATTTTGAAAGATTTTCTGTAGGAGGACAAGACGTGGTAGGGGGCAATGTAATGACAAGTTTCGCATAAATACCTCATCTGCAGATCCAGTTAAAGAAGAAAGACCAATCTTGTTTCTGGATATCGAAATCACATCCTGGCCCCATAATGAGAAACCCGATACCCCATCTGTGTGACCTTTAAAACTAATGGGTTCTGATGTCCAACTCCTGTACATTTTCATATGACAAGACGTGGGTCACCGAAGGCAAACCAAGAGATAGATTAGATAATTAAAAAGCTAGTAAAAAAGAGGCTCCAATTTACTGTCTTATAAAATATTACTTGCTTCCGTGCAAAAAAGAAATGCTACAATGTAAAGAGTTAGGGAAGTAGGAAATGCATTCCAAAGTTTATTTACCTTCTCAAATCCCAAATTCGCAAGGTTCTGTCCAAAGAACTTGAAACAAGCAAATGGTCATTTGGCGCAGCTAGCTGCAGAAATTGAATACACAAAATGAAATTTTGTCTTTGCACAGTGATGAACCTTTCTCCTAATCCTAACATACCTTTGTCACATACCCCTCATGAGCTTGCCATGATGCAATAATTTTTCCACTCCTTGAATCAAACAACACGCAATGACCAGAACTTAGACCAGCTGCAATCCAGGATGGAAAGGCATCGGGTCCTTCAGCTCGAGGTTTGGCACAAGCACACGAGCATATGGACGAGACCAAAGAAGGAAAGCTGGATTCACTGTTATTGCTCCTCCATAGATAAAGTTTCTGACCACGGTTTATATCAATAAACCTGCGCCTCATAATTAGAAACTGAATTTGTAACAGAGGAAAATATTATCCGTACCCTATTTAAGCAAAAATAAATAAATTTGTTTCTTTGAAAATAACAACAGTTATTACCTAAGAGATCCATTTCCAGCACCTACAATTAGCATATCAGTGGACTGCGAGTAATGCATACAAGTATAGAAGCTGCCGTCAAATGCATTATTCAGTATTCCAGTTGAGGATGCATTGTAGTGTAGTACATTGGCTTCATCTGTGTCAATCTTTGAAGAAGTGCTTGAAGGACTTGCAGGATGCACAGAATGTGTAGAAAATTCAGAAAATACAGAAATTAGCTTCCCCGTTTGACCATTCCAAACATGTACTGTCCCATCACAGGATGCTACCCTCCCCAACGAAGTCAAAACACAAATGTCATTCACAGCCTAGCAATGAAGAGGTATCAAAATAAATCAGTAATTTCCGCTTAATCTTATCACAAATCACAGATTCAGTATGAGTGATGGCAGAGGTCAATATTTTATAAGATTAACCTATGTCAAAGGCAGACAAGGCAACAAGTTTCATCAGTTTTATGACCAAACTTTTTCATTGCACAGATGAATCTAGAATCCCCTTTAATAGACAATGGTACCAAAGAAGGTCAAGATAAGAGAGGAAAAGTGCACTTCTATTATAATACATTTCTTTGCTCTCACAATAATAAAACTAATAAATGGAGTTAATCCACAGGGACCACTGAAGCATACCTCCTCGTGGCCATAATAGCCAGATACACAATCAAATCTTGCCAACTCCCACTTCTGAACAGTCCCCTTGAATCCTGGACCTACCCCAGCAGTGAAAACTGTACATTCATCTTGACAAACAGCCAGCGATCTCAAAGCTCCATGATGTGCTCGGACAGAGTGTATAACAGATGCTCTAATTTTCCATGGAATTTCATCCTTTGGACCACCTGAACGGCCGATAAAGTCAAGCCCTTCCCACCCAGATGCTGAACTAGGAAACCAATACCAAGGGTTATGCTCCTCAACATGTGAACTTGCTATGTGTCTTGCATCTGAAGTCTGATAATGTTCTGATGAATGTTTTGTTGATATCAAATGTTTAGCACCTCTCTTTCGCTGTGATTGAGGTATTGACCACCCAACTCCATTGAGCAACATTTTAGCAGGTACATGGTCAGGGGTTGTTCTCTTGCTGAAAGATGATCTTCTGGCATTTGTAGTTTCTAGACTACTTTGAGATGACTCCCCTGTATATTCCCACTGAGTGCAATAGTTTCAGAATATTAAGGCACAGAATCTACGGAGAGATTAATGGAATTACAAAATTTTACAAGAGGCAGGTTTTGACATTATTAATAATGCTCTACTTTCTAGACCCAGACTATCTTATGTTTAGATTGTTGAGATGCTGGAAATTACTTGGTCCAGAATAAAGAAAGAGTTTTTGCGAATAGTAAGATGTATACTGCACAACATTACAGTGTTGTTAGGCTCTTCAGTAAACAAGTAGCTTCAAACCATCGAAAACACAGGTTAGAGATCTACATCAATAAGCATCAGAAAGACAGAAAAGCCAGCAACTGGGAATTGCATGGCAACTAATCATCCACTACTGACCTTATCGGGATCAGTATGTTCCATCATTACTAAGTAACAGCAGACAAAATTTACTTTGCTAACCTATTTCCTTGAACCTTAGCCCCCCAAAAGAAAAAGGGGAAAGGGGCTTTGAATGTAGTAGGGATAATAATTTGAACTTGAAGTTTCTGATAGCTAGTATGTCTAGTATAAGAGTGCGCTTCATGTTATTCAAGCCTTTAATTGTAGTAGGGATACAATATTATCTTTCTACAATAAAAGAAGATTACATTGTCAAGCATGAATGGATGTACCTTCCAATTGTAGTGGCGCAGGAGAAACTGCTCAAGAAGCAACCATGTTGTACAACACTGGCGTAGCTTCTCTATGCCAAGAATCGATGCAAATGATGGGTACAAAAGAAACCTACAAAACAAGATGATAGCATATTGTTTAGATTAAAAGAAGATTTACTGAAAATATTAGCAACTGAAAAGAAGAAAGGAACCCACACAAGGTCCATACGATTTCCAATACACTCCTGTTCATCAATTGTAATTCTGGGTCCCCTTATGGTCCCTCCCGATATGCCAGAGATACTGGGATTTTCCCGAGAGAAAGCAAGCTCATCAAACAACTCTTTGAGTTTTGGCAGGACATGCAGCTCTGTAAACTCCAGTCCAATCTGCTCACATGCTGCAACAAGTTTACTAGCAGCGACCTGACATTACATGAAAACACAAAATCACAAGGGAAAAAATTTTAGCAGTTAAAAGATTGTACATGTGTACAATAAAGGCTTCATTGTGGGACCTTAAGTGGTTGTGTTTATTCCAGTTGTATATCTTTAACTTGCAACTATTATGAAGTATGCTCTACAGTAAGATTTAGTAGAGCCTCTTTTTTTTTTTAAAATTCTCCAATTACAAGGGAAGTTACTGGATGCAAACTAAAATATTCCATGAACTTAGAATCAATAAACCCACTCCATCTCCTTCAAAAAATAAATCATCTGAAAAGACAGAGATTGTGACTTAACACAAGATATCATTTAGGGAAGAAAGACCTTGCATTACAGTGAAAAGAAGAATGAGGAAGACATAGAAGGCCAGTGGCTATCTCACATAAAACAAGGCATCACAAAAGAACTTTGGACAAAGAGGGAAAAGAATCTTAGACATAAATTACTTGAAGTACTGGAATTCCGACGTTAGTCTGCATTAGAATCTTAATATATGGGCAACTTCCATCCTGCATACATGTTACAACACACAAGTTATCAAATGGAAAGGAGTCAAAGCACAAGAAAGCAAACAGCACTGGAAGATCATACTTCAATTAGCTCCTTAACTACCATCTCCCTCGATAAGTTTGCAACAAGGCCATCTAATATCATCAGACAGTTTATCAGGGCTGAAGTGCTCGAACTGTGAATTAGTTCAGGCTTACTGGCTGATGAATAACTGAGGCAAGAGCGAACAAGATTCCTTATTAAGGGCAGTATCTGTTTGATGATAAAATTTTCTCCAAAAAGACATCCTGAAAATCAAGAAAGCACAAAATTAGCTTAGACAGGGAATTACATTCCTTGAAACTCCATCAGCCTTTAACTTGGCAAACAGAGATTACCAATTCTGACCACAGCATCAATTCCATCATCTGATAGCCCTTTGCCCAAACAATGGATCAGAGGTATAATTGTCTGGAAACAACTTGAAGGTAAGTTTGTTTCTATTCTGGACTAAATGACATTTCTAAGACTAGGAAAAGTACAAAGTCTTTCAATTAAATCATTCTTGAATTTTGGTTTTTTTTTTTCAGGAAAAAAAAAACTGAGAGAGAGGATCTACAAAGAATGAAATGTTGACCTGATGAACTGTAATTGGAACACCAAGCTCCTCACAAGAGCCAACCAGGAGCACAGAGGCAGCAGCAGCTGAACTCTTGTTAGGAGCAACAAACAAGTTTGATAATACCAATGGATGTATGGCCTCCAGATATGCTTGTTTACCAATTTGGTTCCATATGTCCAGCACAAATGAGCCTTGAAGAAAAGAGACCTTCAAATGTGAATACGTGGTAGCCTGGAGTGTGAACAGGCATTAGGCACCAAATGTATGTGAAGAAGGAAGAAAATAAACAATTGCATAAAAAGGGGAAATTGAAATGTCATCAATGAAAGCCACAAGTCAATATAAAATTCAATACTAGCCTGTAAGATCTTCTGAATAATAGGCAAAACAAGTTTCTTTATAGCCTCTGGATTTAAGCACTTCAAAAACTCATTGAGTAGGATGTAAGCGAATTCAGCTTCAGTATCTGACAAGGTGGTCTTTACAAGCGGTAAGCAGTAGGAAGCACACATTTCAGCTGCAAATGATCCCATAGCTTTTAATGCTCCTTGTTTTGCAAAAGTTGCGGCATAACGAAGGCGTGACTCGTCTTTTGCTAGAAGTTGAAGTGAAGCAAGAAACAAGTATGATGACCTGACTGTGGCTGGGAAGAATGGAGAATCCAAAAGACATTTCACTGAAGGTCTCCTAATTATTGTAACAAAAACATATTTTAGATAATTTCGAATATAGGAGGTAATATTTCAGATAATTTCGAACATAGGAGGCCTGAGTGCTCAAAATTGTCCAATCCCAGCTTTTTGCCCAAAAAAATTGGTCTGTAAATTCCTTCAATTTTTAACTGGAATAAAACTGCAGTCCTTCAGGTAAAATTCTCTCTTCCAACTCCCCCCCCCCCAACCCACAAAAAACAAAAACAAAGTTTGTTTGCTACTTTATATGTAAGATGTTCCTTTTACATGCATACATAAGTAAATGTTCATTTTTGTAACTGAGTATTACATTTTACAAATTAGTAGGAACAGTTCCTTAAGATTGAAGGTATTTAACTCCTGTAGGTACCAATAAGCTGTTTGTTTAGCTTGATCAAAGCATGCAATTGTTATTGTTGACAATACTTTGATGAAAACATGAAAACCTCAAAAACTCGAAAATATATAATAGTTCCCTCTTTTCTTCATGCATGTTGTGAAAAATTGGTGAAAAGGGAATTGGATTTTCTACCTCTTCCAGTCCTTCTCAATGCATGACTTGACTACTAACTGTATCTGAGGAGGGAGCTCTTGCACCAATCTAGGTAATATGCCACTCTCCAAGTGTGTCACCATTGTGGTAGGATCAAAAAGGGGCCTGTTTAAGTAAATTTCTGCTAAGATGCAGCCAACTCCAAAGATATCACTTGCAATATCTTGAGAGTAAATATCTGAATAAGAAAACCTCTGTGCCCAAAGCAACAGTTCTTGATAACTAACAGTGTCATCATCCACTTCAATGTTTTCAATGAGAAAGTTAATATCAGCAACTGATCTCAACCCATATTTGGTACAGCTGGCAAGTTTTGACTTAACTGAATTCTCACTCTGATGCTCTTTCTTCGAGGAGTTATCCTTCAAATGGTCATCCGAATGGAAGTTGTAAATTGGACTTAAATGCTGCGCATGCTCACAGAATGTGGCTGTTTCTTCCAATTCACCCAAGGAGATGGTTTCAACAGATTGCTCGCCTGCAGTGTCACTCACTGGGTAATGATTCCCAGACGACTCTTTGTTCCTCTTAAAAGTGGACTTGGTCAATAACCGACGAGCAGGGTGTGGTTTATAGAAAAGTTGACGACGTCCTGCTGACCTTAATACTGTTGGCGATGCTGGGGGAAGCATGACATTTTTGGCATCAAGCGCTGCCTGACCTGACATTTTATAACCAAAGGTGATGTCAATCCAATGATGAATAGAGGATGAAACAAGATTGCTTTCCAAGGCATCCCTATGCAGCTTAATAAACTCTTCAGGAGTACTAGCCCATGATGGTACTGTCAAATCAGACATGCCAGCATGTAGAGAATAAAATATCCGTGGATCACAATAGAATTCTGGGATGCATTCATCAGGGGTCCATTGGTAGAGTCTCTGCATTGTAGAAGGATATTCATTTGGTTCATAAACTGAACGAACAGCCATTTTCAAAACATTCAGAGGTAATCGTCTTGCCTTGTAACTGCAGACAGCAAGTTCAGAAAGGCATTCATCTGATACATGATGTGGGATTTCAGATGTTGAATATGTAAAGTCCAACTGTTCATCACCTTTTGCCAGCCGCCATTTGCTCTTGCTTAAGTCTCGCCATCCAGCTCCATCATTTTCATCAGGTTTTACACTAAAATCAATAACCCATGGCACAACTGTGTGGAATGCATGATCACCCCACCTTCTCCCAGCTATCTTATTTAAGACCAGAAGATACTCAAAATTACTCAAGTCCCCATTGTACCAACGGTAGAAACTAGAACACAAGTCCACAGGTTGAGAAAGTTTTAAATCTGCGAAGAGTCCTCCAGAAGAGCAGGCCTTATTTGAGCAACTTCTACTTAAAGGACAGAATATGTCTACATTTGAGTTTGAAGCAGAGCTTAGTACTAATTTATCACCAACTGGCAGCCAACACCAGCATGTATCAGTCAACATTATACTCGACGGGCACACATTACCATAGGCAATTCCTAAACCATGCATGTAAGACAATCCAGAAAGTATTTGGTATATTAGAAATCTAGCATGCCAATCGCACTTTAAAGCACCAGGACTGTAATGAAGAATGTTTTCCAAGGTATAGGGAGTTTTAGGAAGAACAAAATTGATTTGACTGGATGTTTTCAGCATTCCCAAGATTGGAGCTATATTTGGATGCCTTATGCAGCCAGGAAAGTTAATATCATCGAATCCTGGCACCCCAAGTAAATTAAGAAAGTTAATGGCTTCTTGCCCAGTGGCTTTTCCCTCTATCAAGAGAATAAGAGAGTGTAAGACATGATCTTCCACAGATCCAGACAAGAAGTCTGAAGCAATCTCTTCAAACAAAGCATAGGAACAAACACCAACCCGAGCAATGGGAGCCAAGGAAGTGATGGTCCTAGTGCAAGAATACCAACCAGAAAAGTTGCAGGTCGAACTCCGACACCCTAATCCATGTAGGTGTGTACTTGTTCCAGCATTTGACAAATGCCGACATTCAGTCGATTGAATTTCTAGTGTAATAGTTTTATCAGTAGGAATTCCAGGTTTGAACTCTGGCTGAAGTTCATGAACAACTCCAGAAACAGAATCTTCAGCGATGCTATCTTTAAGATAATCCAGACAGCACTCGTCACTGCAGAGAGATACAAAGTCTGCTGACGGCCTTATCGTTATAAAATTTTAAAGAGGGCAAGTGTTAAACCATTTCTTCAACATCTAAGGTTCAAATTATCTCATATGTGAACCAGGATATATTTGCTATCATTAAGTTATGACGCCAAAGCATCATCCTTTTTTTTTTCTATTTTCAAATTATTTTCCTTTGGCACTTATTCCCCAAGAAAAAACAATTAAAGTTAAGGAAAAAATTGGCAAGAAAGGCATTATAAGCACGGAATTGGCAAGAAATGAGATGGCAAGGCAAGTTGTAAAATACAAGCACATTTAGAGAGGACGAAGATTGATGTGGAATTAGTGGAGTAGCAATGATGGTAAAAATTAGGAGGCATGAAATAGTAGACAAATTACATGTATTGGGTGAAGCAATGATGCTGGCGTGATCGTCTCTTATAGTAGTTGATTATAAATTCAGGAGGTGATGCAGAGGCCGACGCAGCCTCTCCTTCTCCATTCCAACCGGATAGCTGCTGGATTCGGGATTTATTGAGTAGTAGTAGTAATTGAATACAAGCAAGCAATAGAAGAAGAAGCATAAGGAAGCCAAACTAGCCCAGTAAGTGTATGATTGAAAAACAGTCAAAAAAAGAAAGGAAAAAAGAACCTGAACGACGGCGGAGGAGGCAAAAGGCAAGGGAGAATAATGGGGGGACAGCCCATAAACAAAGTTGAGCTTTTGATTGTAGTCGGCTTTGATTCGTCGTTCAAGGCACTCCATGCACCATCTTTCTTCTTCTTCTTCTTCTTCGCCTACCTTATTGTCCATCATCCCTCTCTGCTTCTGCTGCTGCCCTTAGCTGATTCAACTGATTCCGGCAGAGCAAACCCAAAAAAGGAATCTTTTTTTTTCAAGTTATTGTTTTGATACTACAACTAGTAGCCAGTAAGTAAGAATTGGGTTGCTTCGCTAAATCGCATCCATCATCATCTCCGTCTGTCTTTGATGCACTACTCATTGCCACTAGCCATGTCCTTTGCTTTTTTTTCTTTCTGTTTTACTATTAAAACAAACAGAGAGTATACCATAACATCTTTTTTTTTTATTTTAAGTTTACCCGAAAAAAGATGCCGCGTATAGACAGATACCACATCTCTTCTCAGCCCAAGAAATCGTGAAAGGAAGAAACAAATGGTTGGAATTGGCAGCCACGATTTTTTTTTTTTTGGGTTATCTCCTCTGTTTCTCTCAATTTCGAATTTTGATTGGAGTTTTTTTTTTTTTAATACAACTGATTATTTGGGCACTAAAAAAAACTAAAAATGGTAGCACCACAAAACAGTCGCACGTCCTAAATTTAGGAAATGGAGCGGGTACAGTATAACAAACATAACTGTAGTTGCAATATATTACCAGTGCCACTTGATAAACTGAAGAAGAAAGAAAACCCAGGAAATGAGAACGAAGAAGCCGATGACGAAGATGATGGGGAATGCAACTTGTGGGACGAAGATGCCGACCAACAGCCACCCTACAACTACAACTGCTGCTTACGGAGAGAGCTGGTACTGGGACAAGCGTTACGCTTCTTCTAGCTCTGGATCAGGATCAGAATCAGAAGCCTCCTTTGATTGGTACCAGAAATACCCATCTCTAGCCCCGCTCCTCCACCTCTACATTCCCCGCCACCACCGCGTTCTCGTCGTTGGCTGTGGCAACTCTGGTTGGTAACCCCCTCCCTCCACCCCCCCCCCCATTCCCCCAATAACAACCCAACCCATCATCAATTCTACTCTTTAACTTCTTACTTGTCTCCGCTGTTTCATTATTACACAATCCTTTATCCATCCAAGACATAAACAAGCGTATACATATTGTTTTTGGTTGATCTAAAGGGATGTCTTTTAAGTTTTAACCCGACGAGCCCACAAAAGAAAAGGAAAAAAATATTTATGTATTTAAAAAACACACACACACACACCCACACACATGGGTTGATTTTGATCAGTTTGTGAATCACGTCATTTCTTCTTCTTTTTAAAAGCTACATCAAACCAATCTTGATAAAGATGATGCCGTTATTGCCCAATTAGTTATTACTAAAAGTACCTTGTCAGTTTTCTTTAAAAAGGATAGTGCAGTTGTTACCGTTTCAATCGCCAAAGGTCTTGTGACTCTAATTTTGATATTTGCAGCATTTAGCGAAGGCATGGTTAATGACGGCTATGCTCAAGTTTTCAACATTGATATATCATCAGTTGTGATTGCGGCAATGCAAAGGAAGTACTCCTCTTGTTCTCAACTGAAATGTAAGTTTTCAGTACTTGTGTTACTTGACCAAAAATTAGATAGTGTTTGGCTTTGAAGTTTCTGTTACTCTGTTTTTCTCTACAACCCAAAAGATAAATTAAAGCTAAAAGCTTTCCAAATTAAGAAAAAGTGCACCATATGCCACAAGCCCCAGAACAAGCTCATGCATGGACTGAGAAGCGTAGAAGAAACAGGATATTGCGCTGTGATCAACAGCAGGTGTTTGGTGACTTGTCCTTTGATACTTCATGGTTTAGTTTTTTTTTTAATATTACCAGCCGTTTCCATGGCTTCTAACCAGATATGAAGATGGATGTGAGAGATATGAACGCCTTCGAAGCAGGTTCCTTTGATGCAGTTGTTGATAAAGGTGCACCTTTGTTATTCCTAGGATTGTATATTTTGTTATAACATTTTAAAGCCTGTACTTATGTTATTCGATATGGACTTCCAGGAACTTTGGACTCTATCTTGGTGAGTGCTTTCTGAAGCAATACGAATCTGTAACAGAGATGATTACTCATGTCAAATAAATGTCTGCAGTGCGGGAACAATTCACAAGAAAATGCTGCTAAGATGCTCCAGGAGGTTGGCAGGTAAGGTGATTGATCATAAATATTCTGCATCATCGTACATTTTGGCGTTTCATGTTTTCTTTTCCATCTTGAACTGTTCTTACATTTAAGCAGTTGATAACAAACTATATAGGGTCCTGAAGGATAGAGGCATATACCTCCTGGTAACTATAACTTTTTTCTACTTTATGCTGTACTGCTTTATCTTGACTACTATTTTAAGTCTTGCAGTATAGTAAATTTAAAAGTATCTAATCTTTTCTCTGCACACTTAATGGAATTTCGTTATATTTCAGATTACATATGGAGCACCAAATTATCGACTACACTTATTGAGAAACTCATGCTCATGGACAATCAAACTACACGTGATAGGTTGTCCACTTTCCTTTTTATATGTTCTTTTGACATGATACAATTGTTAAAAAGCATTCAGCTTCCTATGCAGCATTTTGAAGTAACAACATCCTGGTTTTGCTGCTTAGTTGTTAATCTGAAGTCAATAATGACTGTAGTTATTAGTTATTACCTCAACAAATTAATCAGCACGTACGAAATCTGAAATAATCATAGTATATGGGTAAGCATTACTATGGGTTTGTGATTTTGAATCACTTCTCCATCGCGCCCTCTGTTTCCTGCTGTGTAAAAAAGAAAATGAAAATGACAAAAACGAAAGAGAAAAAGTGGACAATATGTCATAGAACATACTACATAGATTCTGTACAGCTGTATTCTGAGCAGTGTGATTTGGAACAAATATACTTTAGTTTTTATGGGGAAGAAGAGTACACCTGGCAGTGTACTAGGAAATGTTTTTCTTATGAAGTTTGAAATGGCAATTAACCAATTAAGAAAATGAGATCGATGAGGTTTTATATGGTTGATTTACCTTTTTTGTTGTATCTTTCTTTTTCTTTCAGAGCAGGGCAAGTGTTCCATTATCATATGTTTGACATATAATCTGAAAGCTTCATTTGGTTAATTTCTATCAATTCGCTCCTCCATCCCAATAAACGTCTTTGTTGCTGCCAGCAGGTAAACTTCTGTCAGAAGAAACCTCACAATGTCAGGCATGGGATCTAACCTTTCCTGTTCCACTGGATGATGATGGAATCTCTACTGAAGCAGTCTTGGGAAAGAACCCCGATGTCCACTACATATACGTCTGTATTAAGGTCTGTTTAAGATGTTAGTCTCTAGTGTTCTGCTTCTGACTTATGTTTTCCACTGATAGATTCCAAACTGAGTTCTAATGAAAATGTCACGAGTGTTTCACTACGAAGGCCAAAAAGAGAGAGATTACCCAGTAATGCTGGGTATTCATCATATAGTTCCTCTTCCAAGAACTCATTCTAGCCTTTTCTCCAAGCTACCTTACATCTTAAATTTCTGTTTCAGGACAAGAAGCATGAATCCACCATTTGAGGGCAGGGCACTGTACTCTATTGATTAAATGATTGCTAGTTATGAGTTTAATAGATTCAAATGGCAAGTGTGATTGTGTGACTGTCGAGTTTGTACAATAGGCATAGCCCTTGCTTACATATAATTTCTATGGATTAGCTGCATTGTATTTCTGTCAAGTCAAAGGTCACCTTGTGGTTCAAAAGTGATCTTGAATGTCTTCGAATTAGTGATGGTACAACTGTTATATCTTGTAGATTTCTTCTTTCTTTTGAAGGTCATCTTCTTTCCCCCAATTATGCTAGCATTTTCATGGTCAACTGTACGCGAATGATTATGCCAAATAGCTAATTGATGTGTAAAGCTTAGTTTTTGATTGTTTTTGTCACATTCTTTGGTTTTTGTTTTTGTTTGTTTGATGGAGTGAAGAGTTGTCTTTCTACTTGGAAAGTACGACAATAATTGACTACTATTCTTACTAGGCGTTTGGTTCGCACCTCGGAATCAAATTCGAATTTGAAATTATTCATCCTGGATTTGGAATGAGTGATCAATCATTCTAATACAAATTCGGATTTGAAATTATTCATCCTGGATTTGGAACGAGTGATCAATCATTCCAATACGTCAGTTTGGTACAGTACCTAGAATGTGTATTGTTATTATATCTGATATTTGGCTTGCTCGGTCATTCAAAATGGGATACAACAAATTTCCAATTTTATCCCAAGTCTGTTATTTAGTTAAAAACCAAAATCTTAGGTGTGGGCATGCCATACGGTATAAAGTCTTCTGTGATGCATAATGGATCTGAATTGAAGCATAAGATGTGGACACGTCTAAAAAAAAGAAGTCTGTACACCATCCTTCCTCAACCCAACCATCATCCCCTTCTACCACCACTGCCCAGCGCCCCTTCATCTTTCATCTCTAGTATCACCCCCTCTTTCTTCTTCACTGGCACCATTCGCCTCCCCTCTTCCTCCTCTTCTCCACTTTCTGGGGAGGCGAAAAAAAGGGGGAGAGGGAAAAGGGACGAAATTTAGTTAGGAACTAAATTTGATCGATGTGAATATATAAAGGACATAAAATTACACTTTTAAAAGTGAGGGACGAAAAAAATTATTTTACAAAATGTGAGGAACGTTTTGGACGATTTTTCCTAAATTTAAATAGGAGTCAACTTTGGGTTTTGTCCAAAAACCCTTCAATTACTTGGAGGGGAGAATAGAAGGAAGAGAAAGGAGGTGGGAAACAGAGGAGAGGGAGAAGGGGAGCAAAAAGAGAAGGAGAGAGAAGGGTGGTGTTGGGGGAGGAAGGAGTAACAGACAGTGGTGGTGGGGAAGAGGGTGGATGAAAAAGATACTAATGTGTTTTTGTTAAATTTAAATAGGAATCAACTTTGAGTTTTGTCCAAAACCCTGCAATTACTTGGGTTTTGGGGAATCCGTCCAATATGAGATTCATTTCATTTCAAATCCTAATTCCAAAATCCTCTTACCAAACACCATTTTGGATTAGATCGAAGAATGCAATATATTATTATCATCAATGCACCTAAGAACCAATAGGCATAAGCAAACGAAATTCAAGCAATGATTATGAACGATGTCATTAATATCTCAAATAATATGAAAAACTTCATTTGACTCCAAAAGAAAAAGATAATCTTTCTCTAAACTTTACATTTTTTTTAATTTCATTTTTTTTTGTCCTAACAAGGGGGAGATGGAATTTAAAAAACGAGAACGAGACTGAGAGATTTAAACCCAAACCTCTAATTTTGTACATTCTCCACACATAACAGAAAATAAATTCTATACATGATTTGGTATCTTTGTTTCCAAAACAGTGAAGCAGCACAATTGCACACGGGTAATCAGATGGAGCCTAGTTTCTCCACAGAAGTTTGATGTTTCAAAACTCTGACGTTTTAACACGGGATGCAACCCAAGGCTTCTCTAATCGTCCATTCTTTTTCCTTTCCTGCAGCAACTCCAGGCTATTCAATAGTTAACAGACACGGCAAATATCAAACACCATGACGACCTCTTCTACCTGTTAAAACAGATTTACATTTATGGA